CTCCGTATTTCCACCCCAGATATTTCTCCTAAACGCTAGACTCCAAAAATTAGACTGCTTTAATTAGCATATCCCTCTTACCTTTATTAGCAGTCACTCTTCATCCCCAGGATAAAGTTCAATTTCCTTAAGATAGCAAATGAGGCCCTTGGAAATCTAATTTAGTTCAGTGCCTATGACAGATGACAAATGGAGCAACAAGTCTAACTCAAAACAGCCTTTCCCATTACCATATTTTTGTTGTACAACCCTTCACCATTGCTAACTGAACCATGGATAGACAAAATTGGGTCACAAAAGCTCTCTCTCTCTCGGGATTCTGAAACCTGACAGGTGAGATCAGAGACTGGGAATTATAGAAGATAGGCCAGCACTCTAAAGCTGTAGCTCCCAATCAGGAGTAATTTTGTCTCCCATGGGACATTTGGAAATGTCTGGAGACACTAAACATCCTACAATGCACAGAACAGCCTTCATAACAAAGAACTATCTAGTTCAAAATGTCAATGGTACTGAAGTTAAAAAACCCTAATGCTACTTTAAGATGAAGGTCCAAGAACTCTTCCAATGAGATTCTAGGAGCTGGCTGGTTTCTGTTCTTTCCTTGGTTTGGCTGTTCAGATATTCTTCTGCTTTCTGTTACATTTCCCTTTGTACTTAAATAGATTGGGTTTCTGATGTTTGCAGGCAAAACAACTTCTAGCACAGAATCCTAGCTCAATCATATGACACACACCTGTACACTTTAAACTGGTTTCTCAATCTCAGAAGTACTGACATTTCTCAGCAAATAATTCTTTGTTGGGGAATATGCTGTGCATTACAGAATGTCTAGCAGCATCCCTGGCCTCCATTCACTAGATGGCAGTAGTACTACCCTCCCCTCCAAGTCTTGACACTTAAAAATATCTCAAGACACTGCCAAATGTCCCCTAAAGGGGCAAATTGACCCTGGTTGACAACTGCTGCTTTAAACTATATAATGACTCCACCCAGGTGAGGTGTATGTCTGCCCAGTCAACTATCACTCCCAGGAAACCTTGTGCAGAGCACAGTATGCCCTTGGCCTAAGGGAGGAAGGGAGGGAGAGGAGAGTGTCTGTATCAGAAACTTCCCTGCCCCTTTTCAGGTCCTGGCTAAAAACTGAATATACACCCACTTTGCTGATTTGCAGGTGCCTGTTCACATGTGTACACACACACACACACACAAACACACACAGGTTTTGAGCTGAAAGGTAGCTTCTGTTCTTATTTCCTTTCTCACTTTTGTTATGACTTTTCTTTATAACTTTTTATTCCTGTGTGAAAAACTAGTCTAGAAAATCCTCCCAAAATACATTCAGTCCTATTACAGTTTGAAAGATCTGGGCACTTTCTCCTTCAAAAGCTTTCCCTGTTTCACTTCGGAAAAATGTCACTACTCTAACCTTCCAGTCCCACCAAGACACTCCTTGTCCTCATTCCAGATTCTTCAAGCAGATAAACTTTTTCTTAACTCAAGAGATGCCTAGAATACAAACTAACACTTAAGCAAGAAACAAATACCTAGATTTACACTTCTCAAATAATTTAGCATTGACTTAAGTATTTGTTAATCTTTTAAGAACAATTCCTCTTTCATACTTTCCCAATATACTAACTTCTCTAGTCCCTTCAACCAGGCAAAGATGGTTTTAATCTTGCAACTACACTATATTTCAACCTCAAGGCTAAGAGTGAGAGCTCTTTCTCATGTTGGTTCATAGTCTTCCTTCTTCCTCCTTATTGACCCCTCATATAAACATCTATAAGAACTAGGTCATTTTCCTTCTTATTTTCCAGGACTCCAAAGGCACCACATTTATTTAATGATTCAATTACTCACTGCCTCCTAAAGCCACAGGCAACTGGTCATGCCCAAATCTATAAGAATATTGACAGTAGGCCAGGGACAGTGCCTCATGCCTGTAATCCCAACACTCTGAAAGGCTGAGGTGGGTGGATCACGAGGTCAGGAGTTCAAGACCAGCCTGGCCAAGATGGTGAAACCTCATCTCTACTAAAGATACAAAAATTAGCCAGGAGTGGTGGCACATGCCTATAATCCCAGCTACTTGGGAGGCTGAGGCAGAAGACTCACTTGAACCCGGGAGGCAGAGGTTGCAGTGAGCTGAGAGATTACACCACTGCACTCCAGCCTGGGTGACAGAGTGAGATACTTGTCTCAAAAAAAAAAAAAAGGAAATTTGGCAGTAGTCTTGTCCCAGTAAAAAAAAAAAAAAAAAGAGCAACATTAAGGGAGAGTAAGCTCATTCGTGTTATATATCCATTCATGCAACAAATAGTTTGTTGAGTACATACTTTATGCCAGTCTCAAGACAGAAATCCCTGCTCTCATAGAGTTTACATTCAGGTGGCAAAAGACAAATACCCAAAGAAATAAATATGTGTTATGACAGACAAGCATGAGTGCCACAGAGAAAAATAACGCAAGCAAGAGGACTGGTGGTATGGGGGCTCACAATTTTAAACTCTGTGGTTAGAAAGGGTCTCCTTTGAGAAGGTGCAATGGGTTGCATACACAGGCCTCACGTGATGCCTTAGTATTAGAAAGTAATAAGTTTAATTATTTCCAGGTAAACTGTATTATACTGTATCCCAGACCAGTGGTCAATGTAGTGACATATTGATTACTGGATACTCTATAAAATTAAACTTGAACCAGGTAATTTCAAAAGTTCATTCCTACCTGAGTAACTATACTTTATTACAACATCTGCCTTGTTTTGTCAATTACGAGCTGCCTTTAGATTTATGAATAACTATTTTTTTGTGGATGACAACAGTTAGCAGTAAGATTAATTAACCAAAACTAAGAATTTGATACTCTTTAGTCACCTGAGGTAAGGATGTTTCGAAATATGAAATAACTGAAAATTCAAATGTCCCAAAACTCATCTCTGAAAAAAAAAACCCTGACACTATTTACCACACAGCTATTAGAAATCATACAGATTTAAAAACTAACCCTAAGAACTGGGTGCCGGTCTGTAATCCCAGCACTATGGAAGCCCAACGCCGGCAGATCACCTAGGTTGGGAGTTCGAGACCAGCCTGACAAACATGGAGGAACCTCACCTCTACTAAAAATACAAAATTAGTCAGGCGTGGTGGTGCATGCTTGTAATCCCAGCTACTCGGGAGGCTGAGGCAGGAGAATCGCTCGAACCCAGGAGGCAGTGGTTGCAGTGAGCCGAGATTGGGCCATTGCACTCCAGCCTGGGCAATGAGCAAAACTCCGTCTCAAAAAATAATAATAAAATAAAAGCTAACCCTAAGGACTCAATTTTCAATATATGGGTGTTGTCCATCTCATGCAGTAAGCCATTACATCTTAGTTCTTAAGTTTTTTAAATTACACTTTGGTATGCATGCTCGTAATTTTTAAAAGCCCCTCTCAAATGGAGTTCTATAAAAGAATTAAACTATAATACACTATTTGTTGATTGAATTAACTTTTCTCCTAAGCATCTAGAATGGTACTAGCTATGCAGCATCATCCCTTGATGAGTGAGAAAATAGGCATTCAAATCATTTTCTGCAGATCTGAATTTTCTTAGGGAGCTAGGTATGAGAAAGGCTGGAGGACATAAATTAAAAATAGATAAAACCTTCCAAAATAAGATACTTAAGGATTGGACCATATATACATACTTTTAAAAGAAACTTTCCAATGAGTGATAACTTTAAGAAATACATATTCATGGTGGGGGTGGTGGCTCACACCTGTAATCCCAGCACTTTGGGAGTCCCAGGAGAGCAGATCATCTGAGGTCAGGAGTTCAAATAACACTACACACACACACACACACACACACACACACACACACACACGCTGCTATACTTCGCTATTTTCAAAAAAAAAAAAAAATGCTATATCTTATTCAATATTATAAATGAGGAAAATATTTGCTGAATCACAGAAGTAGGAATTCTGTTCCCAATACATAACCTGTGGTATAAGACAATCTGGGGAATCAAGAATTATGTTTACTATACAAATCTGTCATCATACCCGAGTGTCTCCCCAAAATTAGTTAAAATTAACTTACAAATAGAACAGAAAGGGATCCTAACCAAGAGCTTTGAGTTTGCTGGTAACAACTTGGAACAAGATCCTACATTTAGCCTCTGTCTTGAGACAAACATGGAGAAGCCAAGAGCAGTAACAAACTGCCAGTTTACTGAGTCATGTTTCTGACTAAAACCACTTTGTGAAATGGAGAGAATGACGTCTTGGGTTTAATTACCACAGATGTTAATCCCCTGAATTTTAGAGTTTCAGAGCAAAAACCAAAAAAAAAAACTGTTCAGTAAGAATGATGTGGGTCTCATATGACTTCAGAAAGAACTTGCCAAAGCTGCGAACTCTGCTTATTTACATAAAACAAATCCTAACTGTGCAAACAGGCACACCCTCTGATGCCTCAGAGCGGGAACGCCAAGGTGGGGGAAATTCAGAACAATCACAAGGTTAACATTTCACTGAGAACACAGCCTTCTCTGAGAGTCCACTCTGCGCCAGACGCCCTCGGTTAACGGAACCGCTCTGCTTCAAGAGGAACGACCACCGAGCACGAGTTGGAGCCCAGCACGTCAAGCAGGCACCTGGGTGACGCCAGGCCACCTCCAGCCTCCGCGCAGTACCGCTCTGAGCGGACTCGGGACGCCCCCAGACGCCACGCCGGGAGCTATCCCAGCCCGCCGCACTCCGCACTCCGCGCTCCTCCGCTCGCCCGCCGGAGAAGACGCGTCAGGGGCCCGACTCGTGAGGCCAGCCCCGGGAGCCGCCAGCGACGAGAAATCGGGGCCGCGACCTCTGCCCCGGCCGGAGCGGGGAAGTCCAAAGGTCGCCTCCAGCACAGCCGCCAGTCGCCGCCGCCCCCGAAGCCGCAGGCTGACTCCAGTTAGGGCTGGGGCGGAGGCGGACTGGCCCCAACGCCCAAGGTGCTCACTGACCTGGAAAGGTGCTTCAGGATTTGTTTCTTGATGATCCCGGCCATGGTGCCGAGGCGGGAGGCGCCGCGCTCTCGTTCTGTTGCTCACTGCCTACTCTCTTCGTGGCCGTCTCCCCTCTGTCCCGGCTAGCCCGGCCGGAAGAGAGGCGCCGATCGCTCACGACCGGGAGAGAACCGAGGCCCCGGCCAAGGCCACAGCCGCCGCCGAGAACCCGGAGCATCGCGCTCAGACCGCCACGGCTGTCGTCGCCGCCATCTTGGCTGCAGCATCACCTAAGAGACCGGAGGGAGAGCGGGGGCGGGGCGGCGCCAGGCGGGGCCGGCACGAGGCGGGGCGGGGCCAACGCCGGCTGTAGGCGGGCTCTGGGCGGGGCCGGGGGCGGGGGCGGGAGGTCTGCGGCCCTGGCGCCAGGGTCCTGCACAGCCCTCTTGTCACTGGGCCCTTGACTCCCAATCCACTAACCTTCTTGGCCTTAATCTTCCCTCCTTCCTGCCTTCCGCTGGTCTTGTTCCTGCCTCCATCGCTGACCCGTCGCTGACTTATCTTTCCACATCCTACTTCTCTTTTTCATTTCCTCAGAATGGTTTTTTTTTGCTTTTGTGTTTTGTTTTTTTTTCTTTGAAACGAGTCTTGCTCTGTCACTCAGGCTGGAGTGCAGTGTCGCGATCTTGGCTCGCTGCAACTTCTGCCTCCCGGGTTCAATTGATTTCCCTGCTTCAGCCTCCCGAGTAGCTCTAGGGATTGCAGGTGTGTGCCACCACACCGGCTACTTTTTGTATTGTTAGTAGAGACGGGGTTTCACCATGTTGGCCAGGATGAGCTCAATCACGATTCGCCCGCCTCGGCCTCCCAAAGTGCTGGGATTACAGGCGTGAGCACCCGGCCAAACCAATGTATTTCTTTTTTTGTTTTTTTTGTTTTTTCTTTTAGAGATGGGGTTTCACCATGTTGGTCAGGCTGATCTTGAACTCTTGATCTTGTGATCCACCCACTTCAGCCTCCCAAAACGCTGAGATTAAGGCGTGAGCCACCGCCGCCAGGCCCACTGTATTTCTTAAATATATTTGATTGACGTCTCATGCCTCCCTAAAATGTATAAACCAAGTTGCACACCTACCACCTTGGGCACATGTTCTCAGAACCTTCTGAGAGCTCTGTCATGGGCCATGGTCACTCATATTTGGCTTAGAATAAATCCGTTCGAATATTTTATAGACTTTGACTCTTTTTGTACAAAAGGGTAGTTTGAAATCAGCCATGATAACAATATTTACAACAAAGAAAGCAAGGCTTTTTCTCCTAGAGATATAGTTGTTAAACATTCACCAGTACAAGACTATAAAATGAGTTTAGGCCTGGCCTGGTGGCTCACACCTGTAATCCTAGAACTTTGGGAGGTCGAGGCAGATGGATTACTTCAGGTCAGGAGTTCGATACCAGTCTGGCCAACATGGTGAAACCCCACATCTAGTAAAAATACAAAAAATTAACTGGGCATGGTGGCAGGTGCCTATAATCCCAGCTACTGGGGAGGCTGAGACAGGAGAATCACTTGAACCTAGGAGGCAGAGGTTGCAGTGAGCCAAGATTGCACCATTGCACTCCAGCCTGGGCAACAAGAGCAAAACTCCGTCTCAAAAAAAAAAAAAAAAGGTTGGAGGGAGATGAGATTGTAAATGTAAATATGTGGACATTATTTTATAGGAAATAGTGAGTCCTGAAGATCTCTATGACGGGTGAATTGGGGAAGATGTTCATATTTCTGAATTAGAAAAATATTTACAATTATGCTGTCAGTTCAGAGAATGGAGAACAGAATGGACGCAGAAAGGGCATTGAGGTGGTGGTGGCATTATTTCAGGTGAGAGGTAAGACAGTATCAGTAGAGGTGGAAGAAGGTGAAGGACACATTCCAGAGATTAAATTAAGAATTAACATTGAAGGTAATTGAGGTTATTTGTTTGGGACACACCATTGGTTAAGTAATATAGTTGGACAGGCAGTTTTGGAAATAAGATCCTGTTGAATTTCTTGCCTTTAAGGCTGTCTGAAGATTTCTCAGTGGAAATTTTGTGAGGTTATGGCTCTGGGTGGAAATTCTGGTTTACGATTTGTGGTAGCTGAAGCCAAGAACAAGAATGATCGTGATCAAAGAGTATATAAGGGATGAAGAAGGGAAAAAGAAGCTTAAATGAGAAAGGGCTGAAAAACAGGAGAGACAGGA